CTCACTCGCTTGCCTGCCTCCTGTCATCACCCATTGCTTCAGATGCCTCTCAGCTCTTGGGGCCTCTGGCGGTCTTCCCCAGCCCCTAACTACCTTGAGGATTGAAAGGGCATCAGTATGATATTGTGTACCAGCCTCCTCTCTTCCGATAATGCTGCCCGTGCCCAGCCAGAGTGGAGGTTGCCACAGCGATTGTGCCAGGGGCCAATTGTAGCTCCCAACCCCTGGCCAGAGCTGATTGGCTCTGGGGCGGCACACAGACCCGCCGACCCTAATAAAATCCTTTCCAAGAACTGGGGGGAAAAGCTCAGCCCATTTCTGCTGGTGAGAGCTGTGTAGAGTGCAGGGGCTGCATCCCTCCCTCTGAGCAGAAGCCAGAGAAGAGGATGAGGTGGATACCCTAAAAGGCAGACGCATGGGGAGCTGGGCTAGAGCTCACCCAAGGCCCCTCTGGCGTTGAGCGTTGGGCTGGGCATTTCTCCTTGGATCCTCTGGTGACTTTTCAGTCAGTTAGCCTGATGCCTATGCTGATTGGAGCTATGTTTGTGTCTCTTACAATCAGGAGAGACCCGACTCATTCTAATCTCTTCTTGATCCCTCTTTACTCAGTTCCCTTTGCCAGGAATCACTTAAAATATGGTTGCATTACCATATTCAATTAAATTACATGCATTCTAGAAACCTTTTGCTGAGGATGGATGGGGAATACGAGATGTAGCTGATTAAGCATGAAGGCTTCTGTCATCACAAACAAAACGGAGTCTTGTTGCCCTGTCCATCAGTGTAGAGGTCATTTGGGATATTCAGAACTATTCTGGTTCCCCTCCGGGCCACATGGCAGGACCGCATCTCCCATCTCCGTTGAAGTTGGGGGGTATGGCCATGTGATACGTTTCGGCCAGTGAACCGTGAGCAGGAGAATCACACCATCTGTGAGGAGCAGCTTTAAGAGCTGGGGCCTGACTCACCAAGGCCAGATCCCCTGATCACGGAAGCCCACGTGGAGGAGGCTCTCCCTCAGCCTGCGTTCCTGAGCGTCCTGGATAAACAGAATCCCACCCCCGCCCACTGGACAGACCGTGTGAACAAAGACATAAACCTGTTAGGCCGATGAGACTGTGGGGTTGTTTGTTCCTACAGTGCTCCCTAGCCTACCCTGTACGATGGAGTCTGGAACAAGACCCATTGTAATTTCATGATTTTTTTAGGAAAATCATATTTGCCTGTGTTCCAATGTCTCACAATAAACAATCATCTGCATATTTGAGGCAGGTCTGTATTAAACTGTGGACTCTAAGGACAGGAATCTTTCATGTATCCACACCTCCAACAGCAGGGCTGTGCCCAGAGTAGGTGCTTCGTGGTCACTGAGAACGGAATCTGAAGTGAGGGTGAGAAGCAGGGGAGAAAGAAGAAGGGAATGAAGGCCTTGTGCAGTCTGACCCCCAAGAACCCGACAGTAGGCCCATCCTGAGCCCAGACTCCGCCTGCTCACTGCCACAGGTCCTGCGTCCTTGCCTGAAACGCCCGCTGTGCAGTGTCTCCAATTCCTCCTCATCCTTCAGGGCCCAGGTTCAGGCCAGCTTCTGGGCAAAACTCCCTGGCCCCCTGGCCCTGAGACCAGCGTCTCTTCAGGCCCCAGCCTGTCCTGTGAGCCCCTGCGCTGGGTTAGGAACATGCGGCTACTGCCTCTGGGTCACCTGCACTCATTTCGCACCTGAGGAGGGCACAAGCCCCAGACGCCCCCTCATCAAGTCGGAAGCCACATTGTCGTAGTTATTACACGGCTGCCTCAGGGCCTGTGGGCCCGCCAGTCACCTCTCTCACAGCAGCACAGGGATTTTTTCCATACCAGCTCACTGTTTGTAATCCTTCTGGGACTCCCACTACCTGAGGGACAAGTTCCACATCCTCAGCCTGGCACTCGAGACCCTTCATGCTCGGCGTCGTGGCTCACCTGCCCACTCACTCACCTGCTCACACATGAGGCTCCAGCAATGTTCAACCTCTTGCAGTTCCCCAGACAACCATACAATCTTTGCCCATATGGTTCTTTCCACATGGAATGTTCTTACTTTCCTAATCTAGCTAACAAACTCCTATTCAACCTTTGAAACCCAACTTAAGAACAGGTGTGGGTAAAAATTTTTTTCTGTAAAGGGCCAGATAGAACTATTTCAGGCTTTGTGGGCCATACAGTTTCTGTCACAATTACTCAACTCTGCCATTTTAGAAAGTATAGACATGTAAACGAATGGTGTGGCTGTGTTCCAATGAAAGTTTGTTTACAGGAGCAGATAGCAGGCAGGATAGTTTGCCCACCTGGGCTGAGAAGTCATCTCACGAAGCTTGCCACAGGACAGAGTTCACATGTCTTCTTGCAATGCCCTCTATACATTACACATCTTATCATGACACAAACCTCAATTGCAACGATTCTAGAGTTGTGATGATTAAATTAGATGGTGGATCAAACCATCACCTCTCACCATGTCTTCTGCAGTAGCTTCTCACTTGTCCCAAACTCTGTCTTGCCTGTAGAGTCTATTCTTACAGAATAGACATGGTCTGTTAAAATAGAAGTCCCATCAGGTCACTCCTCTGCTCAAAAACTTCCCATGGCTCTCCATTACCCTCAGATTGAAAACCAAGTTTTAAAATGGTCTACAATGTGCTATAGGCCCCAACATCTCTTTGAAGTCATTGTCTGCTATGCTTCCACTCTCCACTCCAGGCGTGAGAAGTCCTTGCTTTTCCTGAAACAAGCCATGGAGACTCTTGCCTTTGCTATTGCTGTTCCTTCCATATGGAACATTGTCTCCCAGGTTATCACATGGCTCTCTCCCTCACCTCCTTCAGGTCCTTGTTTAAACGTCTCCCTTCTCAGTGAGACCTTTCCTGGTCACTCTGTTTCAAACTGCAGCCCGACCCCCCTTCTCTCCTCCTTGTGTTTACTCCATAGCATTTATCACCCGCTGACACATTGTATTTTTCCCCAGACTTTTTAATTATGAAAATGTCCAAGCACACAAAATGCAAGGACAAGTGCAATGGCACTCATATACACAACTCAACACTCAAGGTTTTTTGCAAGAAAAATGCTAACATCATGACACTTCACCCAAGGATGTTAGCAAAAGGCATTCTGTGTTTGACTTCTCTATGTTGTGTGTGGTCTATTTTGCCCCACAAGACTGTGAACACCACGAGGGCAGGGATTTTGTCTTTTTTGTTCACTGTGGTTTCCTCAGCACCAAGAGCATTGCTTGGCATGTAGCGGTCACTTCTATAGTTTGGGGAAAGAAAAGACAAGACAGGGCCTGATGCTGGTTCTCCCTCTTACTGACATGAGGATCATTTTCCCTTGCTGAACCTAGGTTTCTTAATCTATAAAGTGGGGTAATTGTACTGCTTCTCTGGACTGCTGTGAAGATCAAACAAGGCAAGAGTGGAAAATTGCACCATTAGCACGTGGGTTAGTTAAATTTCTGTCGACTCCTTGACTTAGGGGACTTGGTCTAATGTGACCCTCTGGATTCTGGGCTCCTAGAAGGCAGACAGCTTCCTCTGAGATGTTTGTAGCTGAGAAGCCTAGCACAGCCCCTCAAGACAAGCTCTTTGACTTAATCTGTTCCAGTGACAAATCCAGCAGAAACCCAACAGGGTACATTCTCTCACGCTTCTTGCCCCCTCCCTTTCCATTGCTGGCTCACGCAATGCTACCTAATAATCTCCTTTACTTCATTCTTGCTTTACCCACTCATTTATCAATTTTCACCAGAAGCACCTAGGGGAGGGGCATTCAACTACATTAGGCCCTGAGATTTTATGTTATGAATTTCTTTCATGGATATTTGAGTGTTCTAATGATTCATCCAGCCTCCCTTAGCCTTTTCTGTATTTCAGATTCGGCTGTGTGTCTGTGTGGCCATACTTGCCTCGCTGACCTTGTGTTTGCTGAAGAAAGGGACACATGCTGTTGAACCTACCTGTTTTCTAAGGTTAGATTGCTTGGTAGTAGGTGGAATGCCTGGCCTTTTGCAAGCTCCCTGATAACCATCACCTTAACTTCATTTGTTTGGGGTGTGGAGGGCAAGATATTTTGAGAATTCCGAGTCTTCGTAACTTTCTTTCAACTCAAAGCTGAAACTCTTGAGCAAAATTTCAATCTTAGTTTAGGGGAAACAGTTTCCTCACCTATAAAAATGCATTCAAGAGCAACTACAATCCAGACATTTTCCTCTGGGATGTAGCTGCAAGGTCAATGTGGATATGAAGTCATGTTACTTTGTAACTGATGAAGCTCTCTACAGATAGTGACATAATCTGCTCAATCATAAGTAAATCTGTGACTGTACCCTAACCTCACTTCTTTCCAGGGTACCTTCCTCAGCATTACTAGTAACAACTGCCATCTATTGAAATCCCATTATGTGCAGGCCCGGGGACTAATTTATTTCTAGTCAGCACATCTCTGAAGCATGACTGTGCCACTTCTGGGATAAGGAGGTCACAGAAACCAACTTTATTTGCTCAAGTTTCTACTAAAAGTGCCAAGATATTTCCTGAGATCAGCTTGGGGTTGGGTTGTTAGATAGCAACAAATACTTTTTTAGCCTAACTGTACTTAGCATGTTTTATTTATATTAACAAATTACCGGTTGTTTAGCTGAAATTCAAATTTAACCGCGCGTCCCGTGTATTTTTGTTAAATCTGGCAAAATCAAAGCAAGTTACTCCCCTTTTCTGCCCTACATCTTTGTTGGTTTTTATTTTTATCTTTACGGATCATTAACAGTAGGCTCGGACTCCAGGCCACCGACCGTTTCAGGATGCGGGGGACGGAGAAAGGTGACATTCCTGTCCTTCACAGAATGCCTGCAAAGCGCTGTCACGTGGACCTTCCGCCCGGCACAGACAGGGCCGCGTCCCGCCGCCGAGGATTGGCTCCAGCCCAAAGCCCGGCCCCCTCGGCGAAGACAGCCCCTTCCATTGGACAGTTATTAAAGATGGCGGGGCCCCGGCCCCGCCTTCCTCGCGAGCCGCGCAGCCTGCGCGGTTTGCGGGACTGCCGCGGAGGCCTGGGACACGGGTTTCTGTGATTGGCAGAGGGCGGTGGCTGGGCCGTCACGTGGTTCGGGGCTCGTTTGTTTGCGGAAGGAGGAGGAAGTAGAAGTGCTGAGTAAGCCTAGGTGAGTGACGGCGAAGGGGAGGCGGGGCCTGGGGGGGGGGGGCCCTTCCCTAACCTTCCCTTCCTAACCTCCACTCCTCAGGCTCCATGGTCCCCACCTGACCCTCCTTCGGACCTCACCGGTGTTCCCCGATTCTGAGGCATGACCTCCATTGACCCTTGTGTGACGCTTGCTTCCGCCCTTTGATCCCCCAGCGTCCCAACTCCCATCTGGTTCCCGTTCGTGTCTCATCTCAAGCTTGTGTACCCCGAGGGACCCCAGCTTCCACGCTGGGTGTCACGTCAGGGTCTCAGTCTCCCCCGTGTGTCTCCCCTCTATCTCTAACTTACTAAGTCGCCCCTCCCCGTCTTCTCCCAACTCTCAGTAGGTCCCAGTGTCCCCATATTTCACTCAGGGCCTCAGCTTTCATCCTGTGCCTTTCCAAGTGCTCCTGATTTTCCTGCCTCAAGAGTATTCCTACTCGATCGATCCCCCACTTCACCTCTGTTGTCTGCATTTCTCCATTTCTTTCTCCCTACTTAACTGTCTCTCATGTGCCTCCAGATTTCACTGTACCTGCTGCCCACCATGTGCCCTCCTTCACTATGGCCTTGTGACCCGAGTATCCCAAATCCCTAATCCTGTGTCTACCTACTGCTCCCACGGATGACTTGGAAGCTGGTAACAGGGAGCTTGTGACCTGCATGACCATGTGACTGGAAGGGCAGGGCAGGCCCGTGGGTGTGGGACAATGCACAGGGCTCAGGGATCTGTGCCCATTTTTTAATGGACTACTCATATGACCTCAAACAAATACCTTCCCTTCCCCTAAGTTCCTGGATTTTTTCCTTACCTGCCCTCTTACTCGCCCAACAGGATGTTAAGCAGGTTTGATTTGGCAACACAGATGCTCCACCCTTGGGCTGAATGCAGTGTTTTTGTTATTGTCTCTGCTTTAAAATGTTCTGGGAGTTTAGAGATTACTTTTTGTCCAAGTCTCAGTTTCCTCACCTGTAACTGGGGGATTGTATTTCTTGTCTTCATAAGGCTGCCATGAGGTTCAAAATTTGAGAAAGTGTAGAAGGCAAAGCTTTGTAACCGCTATGGGCCCGTACAAATGCGTGGTTTTGCTCTTGTGTCATAGGCAATAAAGGGAAAGGGAGAGTGAAAAAACAAGGAGGGAAAGACAAGTAGAAGTCGCGTTGTGTTTCATCTGGCATTTGGCAGTATTTATTGATCATCCTCTTTGTGAGTCAAGCTTTTTTATAGGTTAATCCTGACCATTATTCATTATTCATTCCTCATTTATAACAAATATTAGTGAACTGTTTACAATGATCTAGACTAACCTTGATGTAGTCAGTGTTATTCCCATTTAACATAAGGAGAAGATGAGTTGCCTGAGATCACAGCAATTGTGGTTGGAGCTGGAATCTGAGCACCAGAGCCTCTGTGATTGCCCTGCTGTGTAAGGGTCACTACTGTTGTCTCAGTGCCCAGGGCACTTTTTCTCCCTTCCATGTTATTTTGTTGGATGACAGTATCCCCAAAAGAGAGTTTCCCTCTCACTCAGCATAGTGACATCACCAAGAGATAGAGGAAGGAGGAATTGAAGTGCTGTGTGTGCGTGTGTGTGTGTGTCTGCACACATGTGCTGGGTGTGTGTGGAAGGGGTGAGAGGCTGTAGTGAACGGGAGGCCTTGTGCTATAAGCTTTATTTTGTAGAGGGTGGCTGCTGGGAGAATGTTTTAATAGGTCTCTGCCTTAAATGTCTCTTCTCTTTTTCTGTCCATTTTTTGGGGTGATCTCATCTGTCTCATGGCTTTAAACACCATCGCTACTCTGACGACTCCCATATGTGTATCACCAGTCCAGACCTTTCTCTGAATGACAGACTCACATATATAATTGCTTGCTCAACACCTCAAACTTAGGCATTTCAAAGTTAAAGTATTTAGAATTAAGCTCCTGATACACATCTCTTTCATTCCTTCCCCACCCTCCACCAAAATCTGTCCCTCCCACTCACTTCTCATGTTTAGGAAGTGGCAATATTCTCAGGCCAAAGCTGTGATACTACCCTTGATGCCGCTCTACTCCCACATCCAGCCAGAGTGATCTGTTAATGTCTCTCCTTTGCTCCAAGCCTGCAGTGGCTTCTCTCACTGTGCATGCCTGGTCCTCTGTTACCTCTCCAACCTCACTGGCTTCCTTTGCTATTCCTAGAGCTCACCAGGCATGCTCCAGCCCCAGGGCCTTTGCACCTGCTCCTTCCTCTACCTGGAAGACTCCACTGAGATATCCATATGACTTTTGCCCTCCTATTCTTTAAATCTTTATTCAAGGTCAGGTTCTTGGTGAGGACTTCCCTCCTCAACCTATCAAAAATTTCAGCCTCGACTTGATGCTTTCTCTCCCTCTTCTCTGGCTTAGTATTTCTCGTCAGCACCTAATCAGCATATAAAACCTATGTATATATTTTGCCAACTTATCTTCTTTACTATTTTTAGCTCTCTTTAAAATATAAATTCTAGGAGGGCAGGGATTTTGTCTTATGTTCACCAGTATATTCCCAGCAGACAGAACAATGGCTGCCACAGAATAGGTCCTCAGTAAATATCTGTAGAGTCAGCCATAAAATGGGCCACCGTGTACCATGCTGCCAGCCTAAAGATCTGTTCTTGGGAGCTCCAGCAACATACTGGGGACAGTTTGCTTCCAGCCATGGTCCAGCTAAGCAGAGTGAATGAAAGAAATACCTCTTTTTGAAATGGCTTTTTGCCCTGGCTCACATGAATGGCAGTGCATTTTTAGATCATGGCCTTAGCTTTTGGAGAACAGAGACAAAATCAAGCCTCACTCAGTCATTTTCCATTCGGGCTTTCTCCTGAAGGTAGCTTGAGGATTATGAGCTGGCGCTCTGGATTCTAACTAATTGGGTTCACATCCTGGCAAATTACAAAACCTCATGTGCCTCAGTTTCCTGCATGCAGTGTCTGGGGGATGTATGCCTTCTCTTACAACTGTTTGGAGGATTAAATGTGACAGTTACTTCATACACTTGGCCCTGTGCCTGGCGCTCCCTGGGTGCTCCATGAATGTCACAGTGCAGTTTCAGGTGTAAGGTGACAGGAATAAGCCCTGCACCATTCCTTACTCGTTTAGGAAAGAGTTTAGGATGAACTGGGGTCAGAGTGAGTATTTGGAGGGACATTGTGTTTTGGAGGCAGCCTTGGGGGTCCAAAGGCTGGGACAGGGGATGGAATGACATTTGGCTTGATCCTTACTGTCATCCAGCGTTTCCTTGTGTACTAACTGAGCACCTGCTATGCACAGGCGCTCAGCCTAGCATTGTTCAGGAGTCTGAGGAAGAAGGCGTGAGTCCAGCCACCAGGCAACACCTCCCACCTCCTTTCTCTGGGCCTCAGTTTCCACATATGCCCAATGGGGATAACACCTGCACCTTCCCTTCCTCACTGGCATTTGTGAGCTCAAGGCAGCTAACAGATGTGAAAGCCCTTTGCCCACCATAAAATGCGACGGCCTTGTGAGAGGACGTAGGCCGCGTGTGGTACACGCTCACGTGCTGAGAGGTGCAGGTGGTGCGAGCTGCAGGAAGGAAGTCTAAGCTGGTCAGGGCAGGCCTGGTGCTCCTACCAGACCCCGTGTTCTCAGCCCGTCACCAGGGCAGTGGATGGAGGGAGATACTGGCTGTACAGGAGGGGGTCTCTGTCCTGTGTCAATTGTTCCAATCACGGGACATCCTGTCATAAGCAGCCGGGGCTCGTGAAGCCTGAATTCCAATTTGAGCAGTTCTGCTTGTGCTCCCAGTATCCCCCACGTGGCCAGCCCTGTGAGCTCAGCTTCCTGGCCCGGCTGCCTGTGGGATCCTGTCACGCACCTCCCAGGCAGCTGCCCTGCCCTTCTGGCTGTGTTTTGTCAAGAAGGAAGCAGAGGGCTTAAAGAGTCTCCCTGCTTAGAGTATGAATGAGCTCAGTTTCAGGAATATAAAGACAAACTTTCCAGACCTTCTGAAGCCCAGCAGGTGCCTCATGCAGGTTCTCCTGAACATTTCCATTGTGGTGATGTGCTGGGCAGCTCAGCTGGGTGTGGAGCAGGGTGCCTGGTCTGTTACCACTGGTAAGAGAGGAGAGAGGGGGCATCTCAGAGGAGCCGACCCCTTGGGCTTCCAGTTGGTTCTTTCATTTCTTCTCATTCACGTATTCACCAAACATTTATTAAACACCCATTGTGAGTCAGTAGCAGCATACCTGGGGCTGGGATAAACAAATAAAAGGCTGGGGACAACCCAAACCAGCAGATACATCATCATTACCACAGGGTAGGTGCCCCAGTTGCAGGGGGTGCACTGATG